TGCCCGAGAATTAAACTTGGTAGAAAAAATAACCCAAACACAAGAGGCACAGCCCAGCGCAACCTTATCGACCTCAAAAACGATAATACGCTAGCTCACCCTCTCATCATCATCATCATCATCATCATCATCATCATCATCATCATCACCTCCTCCTGGCTGAAGTTCTGACACCTTTCCTTGCCCTAGCTGGGTTTGACCTCTGGCTCCTGTTCCTCGTCGTTGGCGGTGCTGATAAGGTAGCAGCAGTAGCAGCCGCAACAGCGACGGAAGCAGCAGCAGCAGCAGCAGTGGAAGAAGCATCCTTACTGATACTCGCCTCGACTGCTATTTCCGCAGCTAGAAGAGGGATAGCAAGGTCGGGAGTCGCCGTGACGGTATCAGCAGATACTTCATCGACATCAAACTCGAGGTCCTTTAGGGCGTCATCATCCATGTCTGTAAGTTCCTCACTTAGGCTCCGCACGGCCTCTCTGCCGGGCCATTGTTCTTCTATGACAGAAGTACCCTCGATCTGGAAGCCGTGAAGGTAAGTTGGTGCGCCACCCTCGGTGAGGATGTTGCTGGCGGGGTCGCGACCGAAGCTATTGTTGGATTGAGGTGGTGTGAGCGGACCGGACTGTTGAGAATGCGATAGTTGGGGAACATTCGTGGCATGGTCGGGACCTTCGCCGGGTAAAGAGGGGGGAGTGCCGGAGTCTTTGGTTATGTCAGGAAGCTGAAGCTGTTGGAAATCTTCCTTGTTCTCCTTCTCTTCTTGTCCGCCAGTGATTGACTGGTGGGCTGAGAGGGCTCCGTTAGTTTTTGGTGCATTGTCGACCTCTGATGTGTTTACTTCTATGCTGCCCACATCTGCCTTCTCTTCTGAGGCGTCAACGTTCATGTCATCCGGTTCACCGTCGGGTTTAGTATTCGCGTCCGCTTTATCGCCCCCGTCTTCTTCACCCTCCCCATCTGCTTCACCGTCGCTCTGATCGGCTACGATGATCTGGCCGCCCTCTTCTGGGGCATCGGCCATCTCAACGTCTTCAGCCACGACATCGTCATGGCTGGATACTGTGATTGTGGGTTGCCTGACTTCCAGGCTCGCATCGAGCATGCCTTCGAGTTCTTGATGAAGGGCATCGTAGGGTTTGCTGCAGATATCCGCCTCTGCTTGCAGTGCTGCTTCGAGGTATGGTTGAACCTGCTTCAATATCCTCTTGCCCATCTGCTTGCGTTTCTTAACCTCGGCATTGGCGCCGTTCTTAGTGGGTGATGCATATGAAGGTTCGACATCTGGGTCTAAGCCAGCATGTGGGTTAATTGCAGAGGCAATCTCAGCACTGATGACTTGGCAGAGATCGTGGGTAAACTGCAAGGTTGTCGTGTAGTAGCGCTTGTCCATTTTAACCTGCAGTTCGGACAAGCCCTTCGCGAAGACGTCCCTATCCGACCTATTCCCGTTTGTTAGCGTAAGATTCCCCATACAACAGTGGAGGTTCAAGAGACGTACTGGACGGCCTTCTGGAGCACCGGAATCAACATCTCATAGACAGGGAAATAGCAGCTGTCCACAAAATCGCGTTCCATCTCGGCGGCATCAAGCTTGCTGGCCTCGCGCTGCACAATCTCTTCCGACAAAGCCTTGAGGTGTTCAAGGTCTCTCAACAATGTCCGCGCAAACTCAATCCTCCTAGCCAACCTTGTCTGGCCCGATGGTCCCATAGCTGCGAAGTTCCGCCTGGTCAACTCCATCGAGGAGAATGTCTCCATCTGAAGCTGAAGGCGCTTCAACAAAGCAGCACCCCTGCGAGCTTCGCGTTTGAGGGTCCAATAACGACATGCTTCGGCGATAAAGTCCTTCCTCTTGAGGATGGTGAAGCGTGCCAGAGCACTCTCCACTAGGTCGTAGACAGCTTGTGGAATAATTGGCGCTCCAGATGGCAGCTTCCATATAGGCTTGCCTGGCTGGCCGTTCTTGTTTTCTCCCAGGACAGCAGAAACCTTGGCCCCCGTCATCTGTGATTCGTCAGGAGGGTGTTCGGTAATGGCGTGCCGGTGGGTAGCGGCCAGTTGCAGGGCTGAAGCTTGACTATCAGCCCAGATACGGCCCTTCATGGCGCGTTTATAGAAGCGCTTGGCATCTTTTGTCGCCTGAACCACATCGTTCTCCTTGGCGTAGTCCTGAGGACAGTGTTTGTCGCAATATGCTTTGAGCGGGAGTCCGCCTTCCAAAACTGCGAGAGCACCCTGGCTGTTCTTCATTTTGAGATATAGCCGACTTCGTCTGGCGCAGGTGACGTGGAAAGCCTGGAAACAGTTTTTGTTAGAGCACTGGATGCAGGCCCCCATCTTCTGACTGCAGATGTAGCACACGAGTTTCCACCTGTTCTTGGGGACCTTTTCCACTTCCATCACCGGCTCCATGAAGGTGTGATTCCCGAGTGACACTTCTGGAATCCACATGGCACACAGAAGATGTGCCCATTTTGATGAGTTCGTTTGCTTGAATGCTCCGTCGGTGTTGGGACAGAAGATGCAGGTTGGAATACCACGCCCAATAAGCTGGCATTTTCGGCATAGCCACTGGCCCTCTGGGATAAAGGGTACACCGTAACACTCTTGGTGTACTGCAAGATCACAACCGTCGCAGAAGACAATCGCATTGGTGTTTTCGCAATCCCCATCGTCGCAAATGGCGCACTTGGAATCCTGCTCCTCGCCGGTCTGCGGTTCGCCGTTGACTGCTGCTGCTGAGCTCGACCTTGGCCTGTGAGTTTGTGGTGGTTTCGGATTTGGCTTCGGTATCCTCTTCTCTAGCGCATGCCACTCCTTCTCGATTTTTGTGATTGTGATTTCGAAGATCTCACGGGTTATGGTATCGAGATTCGAGTCTTTGCGGCGCCTGTTGAGTGTTTCGAGCCACATATCATCTTGCTCATCCATGTCGTATTCGACCCTGCCCACAGCACCCGCCGAAGTGTGCGTCGATTCGCCATTTGGTTGTGTTATGGTCACAGGATCGACATCTTCCTCGACGTTCCCATCCGTGGCCTTGATGAGTTTCCGATCTGACCGAACAAAGTTGTCGCTCTCCTGATAGCCCACGTTGGACATGGATTTGTCGACGTATCGTGCTTGCCCGAAAGTCTTGCTCTCGAAAAGGGCTATTCGGTCGGTTTTCCGGTATGATGGTAGTTTGAGGTCCAGACGCTCCTTTGGCGTCTGGTTGTGGATCGGAAGGACTTTGGGTGTTTTTGGTGTGATTCCAAAGTCCAACGGACGGTTGGCATAAAGGGACGATGATTCCCTCGTTGGCCGCAGTGGTCTACGTCTGCTAGGCGTATCTGTGACCGAACCAACAAGTAGAGGCCTATCCTGCCCACTGGGTGTTGCATTTGGAGCGTCCGTTGAGGCTATGTTGTTGTTGGTACTCTTCGTAGGAGTAGTGGCGCCATTCTCTTGACCGCCCATTTGTTGTTGCTGGACAGCCGGTGTTGGAGGTGCCTCCCTCAAGATACCGTCCACCTCGTCGGCTGGGAAGATCATAAATGTCCCCTCGATATCCAGGTTTGGGTGAAACTCTTCCCAGCCACGCTCCTCTCGGGGCTTGTATCCCTCGCTCTGAACAACGGCGGCCACCACGGCGGCAGCAGAGCTGTATTGCATATCATCGAGTTTGTCGCGATTTACGGCGGTCCGTATCCTTGTGCTTCGCTCTCGTTTCGGGAAAACGCTTGGGGAGGCGTGGGCGGCCGATGTTCGTACTCTTGATGCGGAGCCAGATGGCTCGGCCGGTGTTTCGACGCCATCCTCGTCAATGAAACGTCCGCCACCGCCGGGGCCGCCAGGAACGTATCGTCTCTTCTTAAGGGGTGGCTCAGTTGCCGGGGCGCCTGAGGCGTGTCTCTTGCTACGGGAGGTCGTCACAGAACCCCCAGCCCTCGGACGAGCCTTGGGCCGACTCTGGGGTCGCCGCCGCGGGGTTGATGGCACCGGGGCCATGGCTGCTTGATGGAGGAGCGAAAAGGCGGATAGATATGGGTCGAAAGTGACGGCTGAGTGATGGGTAGGCGGTTAGTTTAAGGGGAATCACCGCGTCGGAGATGGTGGTTGCGGAATCACTCGAGACGGTCGGCGGTTCGGCTCGATCATTGGTGGAGGAAGCGTAGATACGCGACCGTGGGCTAGAAGGCAGAAAGAAGCGGTTGAGCGATGGTCAACGATGCGGGAAGCGTGAGGGAGTCCGGTAGGTTGAAGACGTGACGTTCTGGAAAACGCGAGGCTCGAGTGACGGCCAGCCAATCAACAAGTCACGGTCAAGGGTGGAACATGTGCCCCACCGGCTAGCTGCTTACGTAACAGAACCCGCACGCATGTCACGGACCCTAAAATCGACAAGAGCAGGGGGTCCCAGGGGCTGGGAGGGGCTTGCCGCTCGTTTGGGCCTAGCCTTTTGAGCTTGAATCGGTTGTTGCAGCCTGCGTGGGTCATTTTCACTTGTTCACCAAACGGTTTTGAACATTTCGATCCCTAATCCCAACCACCCCAGAAGATCCCCCAGAATCCAAATCCGAGCTTCCACTTGGCAGATTCAACAACGGTTTCAATTTCAGTGGCAAACATTTGACTTTTGTTAGCGAACGTCACGCTTTGTTTTAGAGCGAACTGTTTGGTGGCACAATCAATATTTTCACTAACCGTCTCCATCACAGGGAGGAGGATGAAGGGACCAACACCAACAACAACAATACTTGGTCAGTCGGCCATGTCGGCTCCGGCGACCGCTGCAGTGAGTTTTGGCTCTTTCTCTCTTCCATGTGCGATTTCAACAAGTAATCCATACTCCCTAGTTTGCCCAAACATCAAACTGTCTTCAAAGGAACCATATCATCCTTTCCCTAGGTCAACAACATAGAAAAGAACAAGGCTACCTACAACAGCCACGTCCACCGCTAAACCATGATGTAATTCTTCAACAAAGGATGCGAATCCAGTCTCCCCGTGTGCGGTAGTATCGATTAGTTGCACTGTCTTGGCGGCTCCCCCCACTCACCTTTCCCACGGCCCACGGGCCCCTGGCCCCCATCCGTTCATGCATTTTTGATTTGACCATTCAGTCTCGCCAACTCAGCAGTGAGAAAAGGAAAAAAAAAAGTAACATTCACACCACGCAAGACGCATGATCCTGGATGCGCTCGGCGTTTGATTGGACCCCTCCTCGTCGGATCCAGGCCACCGGAATCCCCTGGGGGGCCTTACAGAAACGGACAGACTGCAGGAGCGAATATGGACCGTACACGGAAATAGTTCTGGTCAATTGCTTTTCATTCATGGTGTTATCTGCTAACTTCCGTTTGTGCTCAATAAAGGTATCGTAAATTGGTTGTACCATGTCGGTTGAGGGACCGTTAGATATGCAACATGACATGGAATCCAGCAACGCCAAAACGCACAAGCCCAAAGAGAGCATTCTCCTGTCATGGAAATGGTTGACCAACACATCAAATGCTGTGGAATTTTCTGAGGGGATCGACAAGGAGGACGCTGTCCGGAGTTTAAGCTTGAAAACCCCCGAACCCCATCGATCTATGTATGAACCCCCGACGAACCCGTCCGTCCGCTCGGATCCGTTGCCGAGACGCACAAGAGATCCACCAGTTCACGATCAAATCCCGGTTCTAGAAACCCACGAGCTTGTGATTCTCTTGGGTTCGCGATTGATGTCATTGCGGTCGACATGGTGTTTTGGTTTCCCCGGTATTCCTAGCCCGGAAATTTCTTCCTGCCTTACTCAACTCTCACGTTCCGGTTTGTTTACATTTGCAATTGGTTCCGAATCGATTCAAGAACCTGAACTCCTCTGTATAAATTTGCAACTCGCGACCCTTGTAAGGATGCGCAATGCAATTCTCCTTCTCGCTGATGAAATTTATCTAGCTCCCCACGACAGGGCTTGAATCGCTCAATTTACCAACAACAAAGCGTGCGTTCAGAATCCATTGACGAGCAAACCGGCCTCGGCTTGATCCCTCACCTAAAGTGCCAACTCATGCATTTCACTACTGTGTATGCACCATCAATCATCCCCATTTCCTCGAGCCCTTCCGTGGATCACACCCACAAGCACCTTCCAAGAGGCAGACACACACCGTCGCCTGAACAGCCGGAGAGAGTATCACCACTCCAACCCCAGCCAGCCAGAGGTCTAGAGGAATGATTCAGAAATGACAACAGAGATCGTTGCTGGAGTACGGTCGGTGTCCACACATGTGCGCTGTCTGATACCACGAGACTTCAGGACGAAGTATGGGTGTGCATACGGGACAATGAAGTTTAATAGACGTATTGCTATCTGGCTAGGTACTGAATGCCAACATGCGTGATGATCATACAAGGAGACATCAATTTCCCCATGACTGGAACAGATCAAAATGACCAACAAATCCCAACAATCATGAAGGTCGGTACGACTTAAGGAGCATATGAGACAACACGAAATAAACAGCCATCAACCGAAATAGAGACACATGAGATATCTGGGGGAAAAGACCAATATGCATAATTTCTCGCTTCTTGCTCCTGTACTCTGCTTTTTGACCTCACTCAAATGCCCTCGGAAATAACGCCAATCATCATCATCGTCATCATCCAACCACCTCGTGCGTGACACCTGATAACAGCAAAGACATCCACCAAGGCCGCCCATCGTCATCGTCGTCATCGTCGTAACTGTAAAAGGACTCGCAGTGCCTCCCACCGATCTTTCTGTCTTTACTCTCTCGAACTCGAATGCCGCCGCCACCAACTAAACCCGTCCTAATAAGAAAAAGGGTAGCCGGATCATGTCCAGCCGTATGGATATCAATGCCAATGGATAGGTATTGTAGAAGCACAAAAGTTTCACCATCCCAAAAGTGCCAAGATGCAATATCGCCAGCAAAGAAATGTGCATAGCTAAAAAAAACACACGGGAGGCATTGCAGATGGGTGTAGGGGGGTTGCGTTATGCAATACAACAATAAATATTTCTTCTTCCCCTTCCTTCAACGCCCTTCCGTTCCAAAACGCCAATACGCTATGCTTATATGATATCTCTTTTTTTTGTGTAAATGCAAAACCGGTCCAGTCCTACACAAGTTGCTTCAAGAGTTTGGGGGGAGGGAAATGCGTAGAGGTAGCGGGTAGGGTATCGCAGCATCGTCCAGCGAACAGCTTACAATTCATACAACGCTCCAGAAGTCAAAACATGCTTTTACAAAAGCCTGGGGGTATATCATCAAAGACTTCATCCAAGTGTCCGACCACTATGGATCGCCTGCACAGATGCGGCTCTAGGAGCTGTTGGGTCTGCAAGCAGGGGGGAGGGAGAACCAAAGTTGCCCTCGCGGTAGTTGGGCGGAAGCGAAGTGTGATCCCATCCTTCCTCGTTGAGTGCACTCAAATAGCGACTTCCCACTTTGTCACGAAGTGACTCGATCTTCCGACGGTACAGTTCGCCGTCGACATCCCAGTTGCCGTTGTCCCTCCACGACTGAGACTCGGATGAACCTTTGTGGGAGGGATAAAGAGGGGGTATGCTGGGAATGACGGTGGACTCAATCCTGGGGATGTCGGCAGGCGCTCGGGAGTCGGGCAAAGGGCTAGCCACAAGTGCCTCCTGAGGTGCGTGCACCTCGGTAGGTTGTGAAATACGATAATGTTCGTTGTGACCCGAAGCGGCTCTATCACCAGGCCTGGTGCGATCGTCAACGAGAGCTACAGGAGCCGGCGTCTCGTTAGTAGCGAGATCCACAATTCGTCGTTTGGGTGCTTTCCGACGGCGCGTAGACGCAGTGTTGAGTTCGCTTGATGTACTTTTGGGCATGGGCCTCTCCTTCCTAAGGACAGTCGGTTCTCTTGGAGGCGGCTCGTAAACAAACGTAGGCTTGCTGACATCCACCGCGGGCAATTCCTGCGGTGCAGGTTTGATGACGGGAACGGCTGGCGGCTCTGCTGCCCGTTCAACCAGGTACCGCTTCTCCGAGTAGCTGGGCCCCGACCCATCGATAGTGATATCTTCGGTATATCCCGGTGTCTGACGGAACAGGTTAAAAATGGTAATGCGGTAGTCGCGGTGGGTTCGCGTAAAAGGATTGCCCTCCACATAGATTTCCCGGAGTTCCGGGATACCAGTGAGACGGGCCAACTCCATAGGATCGGCAACTTGATTGTCCCTCAAATCCAGTCTCTCCAAGGGGTAGAGCTTCTCAATGCCCACAATCGACGTCAAGCGGTTGGCGCGGAGGTTGAGGGCTGTAATAGCGGGAAGAGGACACCGGATAAGCGAATGGAGCGAGTCGATCATGCAATGAGCCAGGTTCAAGGCGCGAAGGGCTGTAAGGGTTGCAAGGCTGTCAGGAATCTGGGTGAACAAGTTCGCTGACAGGTCGAGGGAGTGGAGAGTATTAGCCAATGGCGCCAGACTGGCCGCCGGGATCGAGGTAAGGGAGTTGTCGGCGAGGCTCAAATGCTTGAGGAAACGCCACTTCGAGGGAGGAAGTGTTCCCATATTGAGCAAGTTCGAGGAACTTCCACGAGAGTTGTACCAGGAATCTGAAAGGCTCGAGTGTGAGCTTCCAGACCCAGACCGCCGGATCTTGTGGTTCCCCCGGACGTTGCTTGAGCCATTCCTGGAGCTGGTAGGCCTGCGCGGGGAGTGGCTTCGTGGTCGCCCGTCCTTTGTTGGTGTCCTGGACTCATCGCTGTCCACCCTCACGACGGACGGACGCCTGCTGTTATGTAAAGCCGCTCCCAAGTGGTCAGGTCCAGATTCGCTGTTTAACGAACCAACCGGTATCTCGGTGTTAGAGGCCCTCGCATCTGGAGAACTAGGTGGCGAGTTCGACTTCTGCGCCGCCTGCGGGATTGTGGGACTTCTCCGAGGACTTGGTGCGGCCCAAGGTCCGGTTGGGGAAGACTGCGCTTTTGACGAGCGGCGACGCCTCTTATCCATGTCGTCCAGC